TATTATCTGCAAGTGTGGGTGTTCTTATGCATATGCCCTCTCTTATCAGCTGGACGCTTCACTCTCTACTCTAGTCCTCTGATTCTGGACCCAAGAGTCCTCATCGACCATTTCATTTTGGTACAGTGACTCTGTGTATTCTGTCTTCTCTTGATACTTACTACATCATTCTATAATTTGCCCAGAGAATCTTTCAATAATGAAGTCGAGGCTTGAATTTCTTCTTCAGTACCCCAGCTTGATGCTGAATGTGTTCTTCCTTTTTGGTTTTCTGACTCCAGATCTTTGCACATTTTTAATAATATTTGGCTTTACATTCTTGAGCTGATCTTTGAAATTTTCTGTTCAGCTCTTGGACCTCCTCATTTCTTCCATTTACTTTAGCATTTCTACACTGGAGAGTAAGTTTCAGTTCTCTTCTGACATCCATTTTGACCTTTTTCTTATTTCTTGTCTTCTTAATGACTTTTTGCTTTCTTCATGTATGAAGTTCTTGATGTCATCCCACAACTCTCTGGCCTTCGGTCTTTAGTGTTTAATGTATCAAATCTTTTCGTCAGATGATCTCTAAATTCAGTTGGGATATATTCAAGGTCATATTTTGGCTCTCGTGGACTTGTTTTCATTTTCTTCAACTTCAGTTTGAATTTGCATCAGACCACAGTCTGCCCCTGGCCTTGTTTTGACTGATGATATGGAGCTTTTCCATCATCTCCTTCCGCAGATGTAGTCAGTTTGATTTCTATGTGTTCCATATGGTAAGGTCCATGTGTATAGTCATCTCTTATACTGTCTAAAGAAGGTGTTTTAAATGAACAAATCATTGATTTTGCAGAATTTTATCATGCATTCTCCAGCATCATTTCTATCACCAAGGCCATATTTTCCAACTACTGATCCTTCCTCTTTGCTCCCAACCTTTGTATTCCAATCACCAGTAGTGATCAATACATCTTGGTTGCATGTTTGATCCATTTCAGATTGAAGAAGTTGGTAGAACTCTTCTATTTCATCCTCACTGACTTTAGTGGTTGGTACGTAAATTTGAATAATAGTGGTATTAACTGGTCTTCCCTGTAGGTGCATGGATATTATCCTATCACAGACAGCGTTGTACCTCATGAGTGATCTGGATATGTTCTTTTCGACAATGAATGCAACACCATTCCTCTTCAATTTGTCATTTCTAGCATAGTAAACCATGTGGTCATCAGATTCAAAATGGCCAATACCAGTCCATTTCAGCTCACTAATATACCAATGGTTTATGAGTTTCATTTCATTTTTTGGCAACTTCCAATTTTCTCAGATTCATACTTCTTACATTCCATGTTCTGACTTTTCAGTGGATGTTTACAGCTGGTTCGCTTCATTTTGAGTTGTGCCCCATCAGCAAATTCTCCCGCGGGCTTTACTCCATTAGTGTCGTCACAGTCAACTCTACTTTGAGGAGGCAGCTCTTCCCCAGTCACATTTTGAGTGCCTTCCAACCTGAGGGGCTCATTATCTGGCACTATATCTGACAGTGTTTCCCTGCTATTCATAAGGTTTTCAGCGACTAGTAGTTTGTCACTCCTTCCTATTCTGTCTTCGTCTGGAAGCTCATCTGAAACCTGTCCACTTTGGGTGACCCTGCTGGTATTTAAAATACCAGTGGCGGCGTAGCTTTCAGAATCACAGCAACTCACAAGCAACCACAGTATGACAAACTGATCTATGTGTGGTGGCATTAAAACATATTAACCAACAAATAATGTTATTCATGTGGGTCTCAGAATTAATTGGACCTTGTGTAAAAATATTTTATTACATTTTAATACAACTTATGGTAGGGTGTGTACATTGTGTTACTACTCATACTGTCATAGTTATATATTATAAAATTTATAACTACTATGACCTGACCTTGTGCTATTGAGTCGGTTCCAACTCATATCAGTCCTCTGTGGGGTTTCTGAGGAATGGCTGGTGAGCTTGAACTGCTAACCTTTAGTTCAAACCAATCTTGCCTTCCAGTGCATTGACATGTTTATTTGCAAATGAATCAGTAATATTGTGATGTGCAGAGTTTGATGACCTGTTCAGGTTAGACATGCTTTTCATAATCTAATCTTTGAAAGCTTTGAACAAATATAATCCTCACATTTTATTAGTTGATGTCAGTATTTAAGGTAAACTAGGCTTCCAGCTCTCATCTCTGAAATTAGTATTGCTGTTCACAGCTGTCAAGTTGGATTTGACTCCTAGCGGTCCTGTATAGCAGGGCTTGGGAACCTTTTTTCTGCCAAAGTTTATTACATCATTCGTTGTTGTTATTGTTGTTATGTGCCGTGGAGTCAGTTCTGACTCATAGCGACCCTGTACAGGGTTTCCGAGGCTGTAAATCTTTACGGGAGCAGAATGCCTCATCTTTCTCCTGTGGAACAGCTGGTAGTTTCAAACTGCTGACCTTGAGGTTCACAGCCCGATTCATAACCACTACGCTACCAGAGCCAAAATTTATTACATCATTCGTGGGCCATACAAAATTATCAACTTAAAGATTAGCATGCTGTATTTGGGCCAATATTTAATTAACTCACCCCTAAATTGCCCAGAGTGCTCCTTGGAGGCCACGATAGCCAAACTTCGTCTTTCATACTTTGGACGTATTGTCAGGAAGGACTAGTCGCTGGAGAGGGATAGCATGTTTGATAATAAGGTGGAAGGTCACAGAAAAAGAGGAAGACCCCCAACAAGATGGATTGGCCAAGTGGCAGCATCAGTGGGCTCAAGTGTGGCAACAGTAGTGAGGTTGGCCTAGGATCAGGCAGTGTTTCGTTCTGCTGTGCATATAGTGGCTATGAGTCGGTACTGACTCGAGGACACCTAACAACAACAAAAATCACCCCTGTTTGGTGCTATGGGTTAATGCCCTGGACTGCAAAGTTGGTTTGAACCGCAAGATCAGTGGTTCAAGCTCACCATCTGCTTCTTGGAAATCCTATACAAGATTGCTATGGGTCAGAACTGACTCAGTAGCACTTAACACCAACAACTACTCACCCTTAAAGAAGCTATGGTAGTGTGTTGGTTACAAGTCGGGCTGCTAAACTCAAGGTCACCATTTCAAAACTACCAGCTGTTAGTGGGAGACAAGATGAAGCTTTCTGCTTCCATAAAGACTTACAGCCTTGGAAACCCTATATAGGGTTGCTGTGAGTCAGAACCAACTCCACAGCATATTACCACCACCACCACCACCAATGAAGTCCTGCTGTGGCATTATAGAATAAGCACTTGATTACTAGGTCAGTTTGAACTGCAAGTTGGCAGTTCAAATTCACCAGCCACTCAGAAACCCTATACAAGATTGCTCTGAATTGGAACCAACTCCACTGCATTGACTCCATGGCATTTAACAGCAACAGTGGAGTTCTTGGTGTGGCTCTGTGGGATAAAGTACTGGATCACAAGGTTGATTTGAATCACAAGGTCAGTGGTTTCAAACTCACTAGCCATTCTTTGGAAACCCTTTATAGAGTCACTATAAGTTGGAACCGACAACAACAACAAAATGTGATGACTGGAACCGTGGTTGCCTTAACAGGGCCAGACCAAAGATTCTGTAAGCTGATGTTCCCTACTCCTGCTTGGTAGGGTTTCCTAGGAGTAGCCTGGTGGGTTTGAACTGCCGACCTTGTGATTCACAATCCAGTGCTGATCCTACAACACCACACCAGGAGTCCAGATTTGACTAAGATGCTAGACGTGGAGGAATACATAGTCCTTTGAGATGGACACAACATAAAAATCATAACATTTATTTAATAATGTAAGGGTATTTTTTGTTTGTTTGTCTTAGACATTGCTTCCAAATCCTGTGTGCCATCCAGAAATTGTTTGGATTTATATGAAGAGATCTTGACTGAAGAAGGAACTGCAAAGGAGGCAACATATAATGATGTATGGACTTCCATGATTATTAAGGACAGCTGTGTTTTTTGTAGCTCCTAAAGAGTAGGCATCTGCTTGGTAGATAGTCTGTATTTAAGAACTAGTTCTTAAAGCTAAAAGAATATTTAAGTCAATTTCCACCTTCATATATTCTTTTTAAAAGAATGTTTTCTGAAGCCTTGTCAAAATTTAGTTATAAATTTTGACTAAATTTAAATGTTTGAATATATAAAATTTCAGCAAGCAATCAATGTGATTTAATATTATCTGTTCATGGTTTATAATAGGTTATATTGCATGTTGCATAACATTTACCAAACCGTATCATAAAAAGTTTTCCTACTTTATTTGAATTTTAAAATTTGGAGATTGAATGTTACGCTAAACAAAATGCATTGTTAAATAGAGCCAATGTTGAAAACCAGTAATCTTACTCAGTACCTGTTAGAAGTGGACCTCATGTACTCTTAATGGATTGATATATAAAATATTAAGTGTTTTTAATGACATTTAAGCTAAGAAAACAATTAGGATAATGATTAAATTGATCCTTTCATGTTTCACAGTTGCACGTAGAATATGAAAAATGTCAGCTGCAAATGAAAGAACTGATGAAAAAGTATAAGGAAATACAGACACAGGTAGGATTATAATGAACTTTTTATTTTTGCTTTTTTAGCTTTTTGATTGAAAAATTATTTTTTATTATAAAAACCAAAATGGTAGTTTTGATAGCTTATAAGGAAACTTGTTTTATTATTAAATGAAATATCAAATACAGCAAAACATGCCTTATTTCCTGAGTTGATGAAATTCGTACAGGAAAACTGCTAGTCTTGTTTTGTTAAATGACATTGACTTAAAAGATGTTTTAGACTTAGCCCAGTTAATAGCTAAATAATAGAAATGTATGGGTTGATACATCAGAAACCCTGTACAGAGTCGCTATGAGTCGGAATTGACTCCACGGCACATTACCACCCCCTCCATAGGTTGATAATACGTCTTTGAGAACCAAAACTTATAAAGGCCTTTGGAGTAATCCATTATGCTATCATAGTGTTTGCCACCATGACCCTTTTGGTGATCATGATGCAACAAATCAGGAATATCATGTCCTGCTGTGATTGAGTTTTATATTTTGGTAAAATAGTTTCTCTCTCTTCTCATGCCTCCCAAGAATCAGTTAACCCTTGATTCAGTATTTGTTCATTAGAGAATTAGTACATTGTTGTGATTATATATTATCTAACAAACTCAGGTTTGCTAGATATAATAAAGTTATACTTTTATTTTTGAGATGATGACTTAGGTGAAATTCTTTTTCCCAATTTTTTTTTTAATTTAAGTTTTACTTAGGTTGCCTTTATCTGATACCAGTTCTCTGAATCTTCGCTTTCTCATCTGTATAATGGGGATAATTGTACTTTTCACAGGGCTTTTATGAGATTTATGGTGGTGGTGGTTATGGTGGTTATGTGCCGTGGAGTCAGTTTCAACACATAGCAACCCTGTACACGGTGTCTGAGGCTGTAAGTCTTTATGGGAGCAGAAAGCCTCATCTTTCTCCTGCGGAACAGCTGGAGAGTTGTTAGTTTCTAACTGCTAACCTTGCGATTCACAGCCCTATTCGTAATCACTACGTTACCAGAGCTCCTTTTACGAGACTTGTAGAAAATAAAATATATGAGGACTTTCATTCATTAGTGTTTAGTACTTATTAGCTATGATAGTAGAAGTGTTAATAATCTTGTAACTATGTACTTTATTAACATATCGTATGACGCTTTAGAATTTCAGCTTAAAAAGTGAAAACCAGTCTCTTAAGAAGAATATTTCAGCACTTATCAAAACTGCCAGGGTGGAAATAAATCGTAAGGATGAAGAAATCAATAATCTTCACCAAAGGTATTATTGAGGGTATAAATATGTTTAAATTACGTAGGTGTTGGTATGTGGATTATTTTTAATCTTGGGTGGAAGAACATTGAAATTATTTTATAAAGTTTTTAGGATTTAACTAATATTCTGGTGGTAAGTTATAATGATGTATGTATGCTTATTAATAGAACAGTACCACAAGCCTTTCTTCCTTATTTATTGTCCAACTTTCACATGCATGTGAAACTATTGAAAATACCATGACTTAGGTGCTCAGGCACACCTAAGTCCTTTACTGGTATCTTTGCTTTTCATGGGTCTTGTGCAGTAAATTTGCCTAATGTAGTTAGTTGATTGATTTCTTGACTGCTGCTTCCATGAGTGTTTATAATGTTAAATGCCATTGAGTCAGTTCCAAATCAGAGCTACCCTGTATAGGGTTTCTGAGAAGCAAGCAGCTGGTGGGTTTGAACCACCGACGTTGTGTTAGCAGTCCAGTGCTTACACAGAGCCACATGTTTCTCCATGTATCATGATGTTATTTATGCAAGTAAAGAGACATAGAAATAAAGTGACCATTTATCTTCTAATCCAAGACACTTTTGAGAGTTATTGTTGTCAAGTGCCATCGAGTCGATTCCGACCCATAGTGACCTTATATAGGGCTTCAAAGGAGCAGCTGGTGAGTTTGAACCACCAGCCTTACAGTTCAAACAGCTTTGCAGTCTGGTGCACTAATCCACAGCGCCACACCAGGACTCCACTTGTGAGAGTGGTGGATGCTATTAATAATTACATTGGTATTGTTTAGCAAATTGGAATACTCAGTTACTCTGTGGTCATTACTAATTTTATATTTTTTGTGGCTTTATAATCTTTCATATCAACCATTTCTCTCCATCTCTGCCATTACTGCTGCTCTAGTCCCATCATTACTAGTAGTTTTTGTGCTGCATCCGCTCTTGTCTTCTCCAGTCTCTGGCTTATCTCTCTCAATATTACCGACAGGACCTCATCTTTCTGAAGCACAGCCTGAACAGCCCACTGTCACAAAGGCCGCTTCTTTCCACTTCTGCTTTCATGATTAAAACACATCAGTGGCTTCTCATTGTTCTTAGAAAAAAGACTACATCCTAACCTGTGAGGTCCTTCACAGTATCATGGTCCTTAAGAACTTCTCAGACATTCTTTTCAGCTTGGACACAGATCTGGTATTTTCTTTTCTTTTTTCTTGTATGTTATGAGCTCTGGTCTAGAAGTATATTGTTAAGTGCTATCAAGTCTGTTCTGACTCATAGTGACCCTATATGGGGTTTCTGAGGAACAGCTGGGAGCTTACAGTTTGCTAAGTATGTACACATACAAGTCCTTTGTTGAATATGGGTAGTTAGCTGGATATGTGTATTGAAATATCTTCTATCCTCTAGTCTCCTCATTTTGTCTTTTGAAGTTCTTAAATTGTAGTGGAATTCAGTTTATCAAGTTATTTTCTTAGTCTTTTTGTGTTCTTTCCCCAGTTATCTCAAGTGTCTTTTAATAGTTGATCATTTAGTTGGGATCCATATAAGGTACACACATTGTCTTAGGTTGTGTATCTCACAAGTCTCCTTTTGTTCCATAAATAACTCCCTTTAATTCTTTCCCAGCTCTTTTTTGTTAATTTTATTTACAGTTTTTATTGTGGATTTACTAAAAGTTTACAGGGCAGATCATCAGTTTTACGTTCAGCAAATCATACACCTTGTTTTATTACAATGATTATAATCCCCTCCCTGTACCATCACTTACCAGTGTTTCTCTCTATTCACTTTAGCTTTTTTTTTTTTTTAAACAACTCAGGCATATATAATAATTTACACCACCAAAGGGCACATTCTGCAAGTCTGCCTCCTGGCCGCCATCTCTTAGTCCCTCACTTCCCATGAATCTAGAGTCCTCAGCTGCTCCCTCTCTCCATATCCCCATCTCTGCCTCCATCTCTGGTGTCTGCTTCTCTGGCTAAGGTCTCTCATTCCACTTGTGCTCTTCTCCCTTGGTGGTCCTAGGGTCCTTTGTTTCTGGACTGTAAGATTAACCACTCCCCTGTTTTTGTTAACAAAACTTCTACCTTTACAATTGTGATAGTGCAATTAGTCATGATAACAATTACTCGTTGTTGAATCATAAGACTCTTATCCCCATCTCTTTTCAGCAGACCCATCTAGACAAGATGAAAACTATTCAGTTGGGACTCTTTTTTCCCCCCACACACTATTAAACTAAACTCCCCTTGAAACCTTACAAGCCAGTCACTTCGTGCCTTTATCGCCCCCTCATTTTAGGTAGCCAATGTCTAAAATGCCCATTCCTATCTACCCTGTGTATAGAGGGGGATAGCATTGATACTTGATGTGAAGATTCCTTCCCTCTTTGTTAGTAGTTAATTACTACCTCCATGAGTGTAGGTCAAGTTCATCAAATTGTAGCAATTTTACCCTCATTTCTTTTATCAGAATTTGTTTTGATCTTTTTTTTTTTAATCTTCCTCTAGTCGAGTTCTGATTATCAAGGCTAGGTCAAAGGGGTTATGCAAGTTTGGTTATTCTTGTGCCTCTCCCCTCACTTCATATCAGCCGGATGCTTCACTCTTACCAGCTCTCTTTTTAATGCCAGTGATTAGTTGTAACAATTGGGCCATTTGTTCTTATAATACCCCACTCTGTATTACACTAGTTGTTAACTTGTGGTGTCATTTGACTTGTTCCTCTATCTTAGGTATCTGTTTTAAACTGATAGTTCTTGTTGTTGTAAAGTGCTGTTGAGTCAGTTCCGACTCATAGTGACTCTGTATAGGGCTTTCAAGGAGGAGCTGGTGGGTCTGAACTTCCAACCTTGTGGTTCGATATCCAATGCTATCCTACAACAGGAGGAGTCCAGTTAGGTCTTGTTAAGTGCTGTTGAGTCGGTTCCAATTCATAGCGACCCTGTATAGGGTTTCCAAGAAGGTGCTGGTGAGCTTGAACCTCCAATCTTGCAGTTCAAACCGACTTTGCAACTTTGCAGTCCATTGCATTAACCCACAGCGCCACACCAGGACTCCAGTTAAGTGTAGCGGTTTGATTAAATTCACTTTTGTGTGTTTGTGTGTTTTTAAAGGCAAGAATAATTTCTAGCTAATGCTGTGTTAATCCTACATTTCATCTTGAGGGACTTGAGAATAATCAATGTCTGACTCTGTAATCTTCTGAAAATATGACATTAACATGATATGCTTGTATATGCCTCTTTGGACATGTGTTTGTCCTAATGTAGAGTCCTAGTGGTGGAATTGTCACATTACAGACTATTTGCTTTTAAAATTTCGTTTTCCACTGATAAATTATTCACCTTTTCATATTCTTAACAGTCATAAGTGTTTGTTTTCTCATACTCTTACTTTATACAGAATAGTAAAAATTTTCTAAATTTTTAAGTCCAAATAAAAATATCTTATTTTTAAAAACAGTTTCTCTTCATTGCTTTTGAGATTGAGCAGCATTCAGTCTTTCACTTAGAAATTTTTAAATTTGTGTCATATTATCCATTAGTAAATAATTGCTAGTTATGAGACCAGTTTTAGAGACCTTTCCTTTTATTCTCCATTATCTTCTTTTAAAAAAATATTTGCAGTAAAAGTTTACGTGGCAAACTAGGTTCCCATTTAACAATTTTTATACAAATTATTCTATGACATTAGTTACAATTTTCACAATGTGTCAGCATTCTTATTATTTCCATTCTCTTTTTTTCTGTTTATATTGATTAGCTCTCTCTGTCTCTCCTTGCCTTTTGGGTGATTTATTATCTGACTGAAAGGTGACCTACAAGAATGGCTTCATTTCCAAGTTCAAAGGGTATCTTAGAGTCTCTAGAGTTCTTCTGGTCTCTATTGGTTCAGTAAGTCTGGCCTTTTTTAGGAATGTGAATTTCTGTTTTTTTACTCCCATTCTATTCTGGACTTTATTTCGTCCCTGCTCATAATGGTTGGTAGCTGTAGCCACTTACTAGCTGGTTCTTCTGGCCTCCGGCTAGAAGAGGCCATGGTTTATGTTAGGTGATGAGTCCTGTAGACTAGTTTTTCTTTTGAGTCTTTGGTTGGTTAACTTCATTCTCTTTTGCTCTAGAGGAATAGAGACCAATAATTGAATCTTAGATAACCACTTGTAAGCTTTTAAGACTCCAGATACTACTCACCCAACTAGGATGTAGAACATTATCATTATGAACTATGTATGTTATGCCAGTTTTGTTCTTGCATAAGACTATGGTTCTAGGTTAAATGCTGTGAGCAGTTTGGATATGTCTAGGAAGTCTGTATAACTGAGCCCCCTATGTACTTTATTTTATATATATGAATATGCATGTAGCACACACACACACACATATATATATATATATATATATATAAACATATGTCTACAGATGGAGTCTTGGTGGTGCGGTACCATAGGATAAGCACTCGACCTCAAGGTTGTTTGAACTGTAAGGTTGGCAGTTCAAATTCACCAGCTGCTCCTTGGAAACCCGATACAGGGTCGTTATACAGATACACCTATATACTTCCACATGCATGCACTCAAATATGCCTTCCTTATACATATGTTGTCGTTAAGTGCTGTTGAGTCTATTCCGACCCATAGCAGCCCTGTATAGAGTTTCCAAGGAGTAGCTGGTGAGCTTGAACCACTGACCTTGCAGTTCAAATGACTTTGAAGTCTGACGTATTAGCCCACAGCGCCACACCATATATACCAGTGTAACCCTACTGATATTTTTTGGTTGTTAATACTATTGTAAAATTGCATATCTTACAGATTTTACTGACATTGTCTCTTATTCTTGTATACTTCTTAGTGTATTCATTTGCTTTGGTCAACTTGATCACCCACAGTGGGTATTGCCTTTCCCATCACCTAAAATAACCAGTATCCTGGTGTGACGCTGAGGGTTAATGCGTCAGACTGTAAAACTGTTTAACTGCAAGGTTGGCAGTTCAGGCTCACCATCTGCTTCTCGGAAACTCTATACAGGGTTGCTATGGGTCAGAATCAACTCGACAGCACATAACAACACTGCTTATTAAGTGATTTCCCATCCCTGGTAACCATTAAAGAATGATACTTTATGTGTATATATACCTGTTCTTGATTTTTTATAAAAGTTAGATAAAATATTTTCCTTTTGTGTGACTGACTTAATTTCATGCAGCTTAAGGTCACCATTTGCTTTAGCATCTCTACGTTGGAGAGCAAGTTTCAGCATCTCATCCATTTTAACCTTTTCCTTCTTTCTTGTCTTCTTAATGACTTTTTGCTTTCTAACTATATGATGTTCTTGCAAATCTGCTGCACAAGACCTTTTTAGGGTATTGAAGGGCAAAGATGTCAGCTTGAAGACTAAAGTGTGCCTGACCCAAGCCATGGTATTTTCAGTAACCTCATATGCATGCGAAAGCTGGACAGTGACTAAGGAAGACCGTGGAAGAATTGATGCTTTTGAGTTATGATGTTGATGGAGAATATTGAAAGTGCCATGGGCTGCCAAAAGAACCAACAGATTTATGTTGGAAAAAGTACAGCCAGAGTGCTGCTTGGAGGCCAGGCTGGCCAAACTTCGTCTCTCATACTTCAGACATATTGTCAGGAGGGACCAGTCACTGGAGAAAGATAACATGTTTGTTAAAGTGGAGGGTCAGAAAAAAGAGGAAGACCCCCAGCAAGATGGATTGGCAAAGTGGCAGCATCAGTGGGCTCAAGCATGGCAACAGTTGTGAGTTTGGCCCAGGATCGGGCAGTGTTTCATTTTGTTGCACATAAGGTCGCTATGAGTCGGTACCGACTCGATGGCACCTAACAATGACAAGAAGAAGAGTGATTGAGAGTACAAAAACAATGTTAATCACTTGCTCTGGAAGATGTGAATATGTGGTGAGTTGGGAATTGTGTGTCTATGGTAAAGGAAGTTTAGAAAACAGGCCAATGTTGAGACAATTGAAATGTCTCCCCATACTTCTTTGAAGCAAAGCAAATAAAAGAGTTTCTTGTTTTGAAAACTGGCCCACTTAGCTAAAAGCTAATAAATCACTTATTACACATTCTTTTATGTGAAGTAAAGTGGGCTTTGCTAGTATACATACCCCAAGTTTTAAAGTGTATCACATGTGAATAAGGTTTGGAATGTTACTGCATATCAATAACTTTTCTTATTATTTTCTGTTTCTCAATAGATTGTCCGAATTTCCACATTTTCGAAATAATCATAAAATTGCAAGGACATCAGATACGACTAAAACAAAAGATCTTAAATCCAGAACTCCTCATTTGGATGATGGTTCAAAGACTGATTCCAGAGGGAAAAGTGATGTTTCTAGAGATGTACATCATAGTGCTTCACTGCAAAACATGGGAAAAGAAGGAAAATTACATTCTGAAAAAAGAAGCACTTCACTTTTGCCAACATCTATTGAAAAACATTGCAACAACGGCGTTTGGTCACATTCTCATCATCAAGCTGGTGAGAATAGCTCAAGTGAGGATAATAGAAGAGAGAAAAAAGACATTAGACATAGCCAGCATAGTGGTGGAACTGATAGAATACGAAAAGACTTTAGTACTAGCTGTGGTGACGGTGAACTGAGGAACACAGAGCCTAGTCAAAGACTACAAGGACGCTCTGAGAAACATGGTAAAAGTGAGCCAAAGACTGAAAGCAAAAACTCAAAGTTTAAAAGTAACACAGGTTCAGATCATCAAAGTGAACACATTGGCTCTTCTTGGGAGAGAGAGCTGCCTAGAGAAAGGTCCCATATACGATTAGAATCTCAAAATGACAAAAGGCTAGAAAGACCAAGCGAAAGATCACAAAGTATTAGTAGAAAAGACCATAAATCACAGGACAAAGAAGAACGAAATGTTGATCAAAAACCTAAATCAGTAGTAAAGGACCAGGATCATTGGAGAAGATCAGAACAAACATTACTTCCGCATTCCAGGAATGAGATAACAAAATTTTCTCACAATTCAAGTAAATACCATCTGGAAGAGAGAAGAGGAAGGGAAGAGTGTAAAAGAGACAGAGGTATAAGCAATCATAGTTTTCAAGATGGCAGATGTGCATCTTTTCTTTCAGGCAGTAGACCTTACAAATACACTGACTCCAAGGAAGCTGACGGTGCACACCAACGGGAAAATGTCTCTTTAATTGTAGAAAGGCACAGGACTGAAGAGAAGAGGAAAAGAGAACAAGAAAGCAAAGAAGAAAACAGGCATATGAGACATGAAAAAAAAACACATACAGAACATTTGCAAAAGACTAATAATAAAGAAACAAAGAAAACTGCTACTGATTTAAAAAGACAGAATGACCCCAAAAGTGAAATTTGTAAAAATGAAATTTCTGAAAGAATAGAACAGCACAAAAAATTTGCAGCTAAAGCTGAGAATGGTGTAAATGAAACAAAAAACAAAGACTTTAAGTTGAGTTTTATGGAAAAACTGAACTTAACTCTTTCTCCTGCTAAAAAGCAACCCTTTTCTCAGGAAAATCGGCACAGAATAACTGATACTCCCAAATCCAGTGGTGGATGTGATTTGGAGTCCTCGATGCAGGCTGAAACAGTGACACATGTTTCCTCTGCTAGTGAACACATTTCAGAGGAAACCAAATCAAGGTTATTAAAACCAAAGGATGCTCTTTCAACAGTGTCTGAATGCAAGATCAATATTCCAGATAGCAAAATGGAAAAAAAAAAAAGTTTGTTAGTTAAATCTGTTGAGATTCGTAAACCTTTGGACATGCCCATTTGTGATACAGAGACTTTCTTTTCAACACCGATAGAAACGGACCAAACAGAATCCTTGCTTCCATCATCAACAGAAATGGAACAAACCATTAATTGTGCAAAGACTGTTCCCATGGTAACAGATTTATTGCAAACAGATGTGTTACAAAATATTTCTCAAAACTTTGGCTTGGGATTGGATACCAAAAGCAATGATGGTTTCAATTCTTGTATTTCTAAAGGTGTGGAAATGAAGGTGGGTTTCTCAACAAAAGTGGCTGAGCCTAGTGAAAGCATTTTGCAGCCATCAATTGAAGAAGCTGGTAACCCCAAATTTGAAACTTCTCTTGTGGGTACACCTCTTGTTGAGAGTAAGTCTTCTCAAATGGAGCCTTGTTTACCTAAAGAGACTATAGAATCTTCAGTGCAGAAAAGAGAGTTACTGGACCACAGAATAGAGATTGGTGAAACAAACTCAGTATATCATGATGATGAGAACTCGGTTCTGAGCATTGATCTTAATCACCTGAGGCCTATTCCAGAAGCCATCAGTCCTCTGAATAGTCCAGTGAGACCTATAGCAAAAGTTCTTAGAATGGAAAGCCCAATTCAAGTTCCATTATATAATAACAACAACCATAAAGGTAACAATTTATATTTTCTTCTATAACTTATTTTTTGAGATTATAAAATACATAAACAAGGTGAACTGATGTATTTTCATTTTCTGTTTTGGTAATATAACTAATGGACACTTTTCAGAGTCCTTTGTTAATTAGACAAGTACACCGAGTCTTTAATCTCTAAATGTAGGTAACTGTACAAAAGGGGGTAGTAGGACAAATTGGCGTCTTTCAAATGTTTTTGTTACTCAAAAGTCATGATCATATTGAGGTGTAAAGTGATGCTGCTAACGTAAGGTAAAGCTATCCTAAACTATTGGCTGATAGTTTTCTGAAAGAACAAACTTTACACTATCGTTGTCAGACAATCTTTTGAGCAAGATTTTTTTCCTCATGTTTAAATTGTGGTAAAATATACAGAACATAAAATTTACTAGCTGAACTATTCTTGAGTGTACAATCCAGTATACATTCAAAATGTACATAAGAGTTGTTGTTAAATGCTCAAAGCAACCCTGCTTGGGTTTCTGAGGTTGTACATTTTGCGGGAGCAGAAGGCCTCAGTATAAATCATCACCATTATCTATTTCCAAATGTATATAATCAACCCAAACAAAAAGTATACACATTATGTAATAATTCTCCCTTCCCCTCCCCATAAACTCTATTATAGTAACATCTGTGCCACTCTCTAGACCAATGACATGAATAAATACTAGGCATGAAAAAATAAGGTGAAAATTCTGCCTTTAAAAAGGCTATTAAAAGAATGAATTGTATAATATTTAAATTTTGGGTAGTTGTTTTTTTTTCTCAGGATGGGTTTATCAAATGACTTAAGATTTAACTAACGGTTTTGTGACTTTAATATACTTTTCTCTTCCATAGATGTTTTCCCACCAAATTCAGCTCATTCTACTTCCAAGAGTCAGTCTCATGATCTCAATAAAGAAAATCAAAAGCCAGTTTGCAAATCTGACAAATGTACAGAAGCAGGCTTACCTAAGAATTCATCTTCAGATGAATTAGAAGAAGGAGAAATTATAAGTGACAGTGAAACATCCAAGTCACAAAAAAATTGTGAAAAAAGCACCAAACCTAGAGCATCTGCTCAAGTGCAGAACACGAAGACTAACCCAGGAAGAAGGAAAAGGTCTGTTCATTTGAATGAAGGTAATAGGAAAGCATCTTCTGTCAAAATCCACCAGACCAATAGCAAATGCAGTAAGACACCTAGTGAATCTCGCAGATCTTCAAAAACAGGGAAGAAAGAAAAAGCCGTGAGCACGTCCAGCCTGGAAAAAATCGTTCAAATTGTTGTTGCACCCTCTTCTGTACGTGAGATTATGCACATGTTACGCATGATTAGAAAACATGTGAGGAAAACTTATATGAAATTCAAGGTAAAATTTTCATTAATGCAATTTCATAGAATTATTGACTCAGCAATTTTGAGTTTTACATCACTAATTAAACACCTTGACTTATCCAAAATCTCTAAGTCAGTGTCTACTTTACAGAAGAATCTCTGTGATAGTATAGAATCTAAACTTAAACAAGTTAAAAAGAATGGCATAGTTGATCGTTTATTTGAACAGCAACTGCCAGATATGAAAAAAAAACTGTGGAAATTTGTTGATGAACAACTTGATTATTTATTTGCAAAACTTAAGAAAATCTTAGTAAAATTTTGTGATTTCATAAACTTTGGAAGTGACAGTGATGAAGGAAAACATGAAAAAAAGAAAAAAGAAAAAGTACAACATTCAGATTGTCAGAAGCAGAGCCTGGAGAACTCCAACAAAGAAATAGTGAAAGCAAAATCCCCCAAATCAGAAGACACTGTTCATTTTAAGCCTTTAGTGGGATGTAAAAAATCAGAGGAAAAACCTCAAGACCAACAAAACTCCGATATTAACACAGTAAAGCATGGCATTAAAAAAAATTCTAATACCTGCTCTGATAATCTAAAGAACTCTCAATCCAAAGAACACTCCTTAGAACTAAACTGTGTGAGCACCTCAAAGTCAGAAAGGACCGAAGACGGCACTGTAGAAGATGCACAGGCATCCCAGCATGCAGCTTTGAAGCCAGAACGTAGTTTTGAAATTCTTACTGAACAGCAGGCATCTAGCCTTACATTTAATTTAGTGAGTGATGCACAGATGGGTGAAATATTTAAAAGCTTGTTGCAAGGTTCTGATCTTTTGGACAGTGGTGTTAACGGTAATGAAAAAAGTGAATGGGAATTAAAAACTCCAGAAAAACAGCTCCTAGAGAGTCTTAAATGTGAAGCTATACCAGCCTGTACAACTGAGGAACTAGGTTCAGAGGTGGTTTCTCCAAGTCCTAAATTGATCAGTGATGACAATTGGTCATTATTATCATCTGAAAAAGGGCCATCTCTGTCTTCAGGGCTTTCATTGCCAGTTCATCCTGATGTGTTGGATGAAAGTTGTATGTTTGAAGTGTCCAGTAACATAGCTTTAAGTAAAGATAATTTATGTAGTTCAGAAAAGAACAAGCCCTACATTTCTTCCATACTTCTTGAAGATCTAGCCGTCTCTTTAACAGTACCATCACCTCTGAAATCAGATGGTCGTCTCAGTTTCTTAAAGCCTGAGGTTTTGTCTAGTTCCACTCCCGAAGAAGTAATTAGTGCCCACTTTAGTGAAGATGCTTTACTTGAGGAAGAGGATGCATCTGAGCAAGATATTCATTTAGCTTTGGAGTCTGATAATTCAAGTAGTAAATCAAGTTGTTCTTCATCATGGACAAGCCGGTCTGTTGCTCCAGGCTTTCAGTACCACCCTAATCTACCTATGCATGCTGTCATAATGGAAAAGTCCAATGATCATTTCATTGTAAAAATACGGCGTTCAGCACCATCCTCCTCGCCTAGTCTTAAACAGAGTGTCCTGGCTGATGAGTCACTGGCATCTTTGCCTACAGTAGGAAAAGAAACTGTTGAAGCAACAGAGAAAGAATGTATTTCTTGTCAGGACTCAGTTTTTACATCTGTGGATGAATTGGATAAATGCAACAACAGTGTTGATGTTACTAGATTGGCAGATGCAGACCAGAACTCTATGATACAAGCACAGGTTCCTGATATATATGAATTTCTTAAAGATGCTTCAGGAAAAGTGGGTGATAGTAATAAATTGGCTGATGAATGTTTCAAATTGCATCAAGAATGGGAACCAAAGGTCCCTGAAAGCATTGAAGACTTGACTCAAGTGGAAGAAATACCACAGTCTGTTGAGGCTCATCTCCCAAACACGTATATAGACCTAACAAAAGATCCAGTTACTGAGACCAAAAACTTGGGAGAATTATTAGAAGTAACAGTTTTAAATATTGATCAGTTGGGATATTCTGGAGGCAACTTGGATCAAAATGCTCAAATATTAAACAGTTCTGTACAACTGGATACTGTAGGTGCTTTTATTGATTTGACACAAGATGCTTCAGGCGAGAGTAAAAATGAAGGTAACCATTCTTCCAAAGCTGATGGAGGTCTGGGGTGCCAGGTGATATGTGTAGAGGAAGACAACCGTAAGAAAGAAAAGGTGCGTTTGACAAATAGACCCTCTGAGTGCACTGCTGACAATTCTTGTATTGATTTGACCACAGAATCTCCAAGTCCATGTGAAGTGTTTAAAAAGGATGATTTAGAGTCAGCACCAAAATCAAATTCTGAAAGTTCAGAGCTATCTGGGGCTTTGGATAATGCTCACAAAAAGAGAAAAAACCTTTCTGATCTAAATCATTCTCAGAAAAAACAAAGAAAGGAAATAGACTTAACTAGTAGGAAAAAAGTCAAGAAAGCCACTCAAGATTCTGGTGAGAATGATGAAGCTCACCAAAGGAAAGCCACTAAGAAAAGGAGCCCTGCAGAAAATAAAGATCCCTCATCATTAAAAGCAAGCCCAGGGATGCAGGATTCATCAGCAGCAGCTGCCACTTCTATGAGCCTTTCTGCAAAGAATGTTATTAAAAAGAAAGGAGAAATTGTAGTTTCATGGACAAGGTAAGAATCTCTGTGAAACATTTAAATCACCAAGATATTTTGAGAGGCCAGAAATAAATTGTCATTATCTTCATAGTTTTGTCCCATCCTAAACTAAGGAAGGAAAGTGATGACTTCAGAAGTGGCCAAAGTTAGGAGAAATGCAATCCAGAGTACAGTCCAACTCTTACTGTGGAATGGACTCTTAACCAGTGGCATGGATTAGCACCACAGGCAGAACTTTTCTGTGCTTTAATTTTACTTTTTCAATTAAAAAGAATTCTTTTATATGGAAGGACCAGGTATAAGCTCATTTTAGTAAGGAAGGCTGATACATGCTGAAACAAGGCAAAAAGTTTGGAATGTTTATAATTGAAGTTTTCTCCCTAAATGAAAAATTTCCAGAAAGTTTCATAAGTGGGTTGTACTTTTGACTTTTATGTGAGCTTTTTAAGAAATGCAGATTCCTAGATTCCACTTCAGACAAGAAGGCAACCCCAGTCATGAACTGGAATAGAGGAACACAGTCTCCTTAATGGACTGGAATGCTCGATGTGAAGAGATCGATCATTTCTGTTGAACACTGCAGTTCTCAATGTCCCCATTTCTTAACTTGAAATGACAGAATAAAACCTCAGGTTGTACTAATACACACTGGTTCAGACCACATAAAAAAAGCAAAGAATTAGAAGAATCTATTCTAGCTTTGATTCTTCTGTTTAGTCTTTCATATTTGGGGACCTTGATTTTTAAAGTACTGTAAATATTAAAGGTAGGAAAAAGTTCAAGTAGAAAAAAATTCATTTGTCACTAGAAAAAGTAATACATTTGTTGTAAATTTGGTAAGTACAGATGAGCTCAGAGATGAAAACCATAAAATATTTCTCAGATCATTGTTGATATTTGGTATTTATAATCCTATTTCTATATACAATGTCACCTCTATTGATGGAGATTGAGGCAGTATAATTTTTGTTACTCTTCTACTCTAAATAGCAGTAATTTCGAATATTTATTTTGTTTTATTAGTTTGCTAAATAGGTAGCATTTATTTTGTTATTCTTTTACTCTAAATAATATTTCTCTTCCCTCAGAAATGATGATCGGCAAATTTTATTGGAGTGTCAAAAAAGAGGGCCATCACTGAAAACATTTACTAATTTAGCTGCCAAGTTGAATAAAAATCCAAATCAGGTAAACTACCCAGTTTTTACATCTCTGTTGAGTCATAGAGTCCTGGTGTGGCGCTGCGGGTTAATGCACTGGACTGCAAGGTTGGCAGTTCAAACTCACCAGCCGCTCCTGGGAAACCCTATACAGGGTCGCTATGAGTTGAACCAACTTGACGGCACTTAACAACATTGAGTCATAGATAGTGTGCCACTCTAACAATTTACAATCAGTTTAATTTTAAAATGCCTAATCGTAGTGGTTACGAATCGGGCTGCGAACCTTAAGGTCAGCAGTTCGAAACTACCAGCCCCTCTGCGGGAGAAAGATGAGGCTTTCTACTCCCGTAAAGATTTACACCCTCGGAAACCCTGTACAGGGTCGCTATGAGTCGGAACTGACTCGACGGCACTTAACAACAACAACAACAATATGTATATTGGCGGTTCATACCCACCAGCCACTCTTCAGAATCCCTATATAGATAGGGTCTCAGTTGGAACCGACTCAACGACACTTAACAACAACATACTATTGAGGGTTATTTTCTGCCTTTAGGTGATGTATAAACATATTCAACAGTGATGAAAAATATTGTTGAAATATTGATAATTAACACTCATTTTTAAATTTTTAGGTCTCAGAAAGATTCCAGCAGCTATTGAAGCTTTTTGAAAAGTCAAAATGCAGGTAGTTAATGGTTATATCTGTAACTGTGCCGTTAATACCTGTTAAGTCATTGAAGATGTGAGTAGTATGTGAGAAACATCCAGTTGAGTTCCTGCTTCAATCACTGGTTGGAGATGGTGGCTTGTACAGGTGTTTAGGGCCACCTCATCCCCAGGGATGTGCTTAGAGTGTTGCCTGTTGTAATTCAGATCAGCAAGGCATCTCCTCAACCTCCAGTTGCTGATGAGGCTAAGGTGGGGCAGGGGGGGAATCATTTAATGGTTTATATAATACATTTATAGTGAAGAAAAATTAAAGAATACATTCTTAATAGAAATGTGTTTTATAACCAATGGGATCTGTAGTCATTATAATTTAATATGTCTCATTTTTAATAAGGAGTGTTAAAATGCTAAAGTGACTAGAAGCAAATCAGGAATTCATAAACATGAAATCTATTGTTATCTGAATAGATAACACAATTTACTGTCATATTTTTAACAATGTTCACTGATTTGTTCCTTTAAGCCATTTTTTGGTATAAGGCAATAATGCTTAAATGATAAGCAAGTTTTTTCTGTTAAGTACTAAGCCAACTGCTTAAATATTTTGGATTTGTACTTAAGGAAAATTCAAGTCAATTTGTCACATAATTATTTGAACAAAAGGCACCCAATTTAAAATGAAATTAAATCTGAATAAAAACCATATTTGGATATAGATTTCAGTTTGAAGGGCCCTGAATATTTTTTAATTTACAAGTCCCTGTTAGATAACCTATTAATTTACATAACTTCTAGAAGCAACTGATTTTCTTCAAAGGATGTTTGGTATTTAGTAAGTAGTTCACTATGAAGCTAAGTATATAATTCAGAAATGGGAGATTGAATAATGTTGAATTTGGAGAGGAAATGGGTTACAAAATGTCCTTAAAAAATTTGCTAAATGCAAAAAAGTGGCCTAGTTATTTTTCCAATTAACTGTACTTTTAACCTTTTCTCTGACTTTAAAAAATTTAACTGATTTTTTTTTAATCTATATGATTTACATTGTAGAGAAAATATAAATGTATAAAAATTAACTTGTATCTGTTAGCGGTGCTTGTTTGAAATTTCTAAATTCTATTACAAATTAAAATTTTTTTTAAATGAATTTAATACTTGAGGTTTAATTTGTCTACATGATTAGCATACAGTAGATTATTTCATTCTTAGCTTGGCTCTTAATTTTTCAAGTTCTATAATCTCTTTAAATTAATTTCAAAAGTGTAATACAACGATATACTTACGAAACCAGTTCTGTAAATGCTAGTTCTGAAGCACCAATATCGTCCAAGTAAAGCTCATTTTCAAGATCAGTACTTTGTGCAGTGGACATATCAGAAAACTAGAATCATAACTAGCATTTTCTTACATTACAGATAAATTGCTGAATTCCTTGGAGTTTTATTGTATATTACACAGAAGCTGGGAATTCCTCGTGTTTTAAATGGGGGAACTAGAGGTTTTTTGTTTTTATAACATTTTTTGGTAACTGGATCTACATTTGTTATTACTCGCTGACTCATCTCAAGTCAGCATGCTCAACTTGTTGCAGCCATTTATCTGATCTGCTTACCTGTTATTAGTCAAGATATTTATTTTTAAATGTTAGAACTTGGTTATCAGATTGAAAAAGCAACAATCATACAGTATTTGACAGTTTCATTTTGGTTTATTTCAAAGAAATAACTTTATTTTCTAGATTTTTAATGATAGTTTACAACATTTTAAACCTGATAACTGTTTGGTTCTAGTTTTCATCCATTTGTATTTGCTTTTCTAATGGTCTCTCTCCTCATTTTGGAGCATTGTAAAATAATTTAAATTGTGTATTTGTAAATATGTATCATAATGATGTAAAATATCTGTGTGTATGTACATACATATATGGCTTTGTATAGCCCAGGTTTTTTTTTTTTAAATCTGTATAAAACTTTTTGTATAAAGTTTGCTTTCTATAACCATAATGTATAATAAAACAATGTAAAGTTCTATTTTGGTTAGAATGTTTCTTTTAGTGTGTTTAGATTATCATCAATTGGATTTTGATATCATATGTACTTTGCAGATTTGAGTATATTTTCAAAATCCGTTTACCAGCTAAAATGTCACCTGTGTCTCTGTCCCTGGGACCCTTCTGGATCTGTTTGCAGCCTACAATGGTAGAGCCCTTGTCTTAGCTCTTTACGAAGTTCCCTTGCCTTTCCCCTTCTTTCTTCTTTGTTTCTTCTGTTCCTTCCTGCTGCTGCTTTTTCCCCCTTTTCTGATAACCTGCTTCTGGCTCCAAAATCTGTGTGGTGCTGCTTATGTGAAAATAAAAGATAATGGAATTTTTCCATGAGCGTTTTGAAGCCTCCTCAAATACACCAATGTTTTCATCAATTTCAAGGCATGGCCCTTCTACCAGAGCCACAAACTGATCATTCCCCTCCATAGGAACACATGGTTTGCATGGTAGGTATGACTGGGCTACAAATCACCTCATATACGTAATTGACCAATCCCTGCAAGGTTCATAGCAATCACAGGGCAGGCTGCAGTCCAGGACCAGATAAAAGTATCCAATGAACTTACTTATAGTTTGCCAAGACAATGTCAGTCAATTTAGCAAAAGTGATAAAAACCTTCAATTAGAAAACTTTAGGGCAAACGTAACTCCTCAGAGCTTAGGGGGGGAAAGGTTTTTAAAAGATCTCAAATCCACTCTTGTAGCTCAGTATAGGGTGGGATACAAGGAGGTGAGGCAGAGGAGGAGACAGGGGTCTGGGTGTGGACTCTAGGGCTTTGTCCAGAGCTGTACCTGCTGCTTAGGTGCATGGAACAGTAGGCGGGCTGGCCACACTCTACTCCCTCATTTGCTTCTTACTGCATGCACTCCCTTGGACAACCCTAAGTAGACTCCCAGAGGTTTAATATGGTGTTCCTATAATGTCTAAATAGCATGAAACATGGACAATAAACAGCCTACACTCTTCTAGGATTATGATCAAAGAGTTGGGCAGCACACAGTAAGTGTTGTGTTACCTTTAAAGGTTGCCAAGTCAGAACAGTTAGGTTGCTATGAGTCAGAACTGACTAGACAGCACTTTAAGAAGAGCAAACATTTAACTTCTTGTGGGTAAATCCATTTAAAATTTAAGATTTTAGTCTAGATAATAATATTTATGAGGTCAAATGTTAAAATAACATAACCCTATCTTTGTTAGGTGCCATGCAGTCAATTCCTACTCAGTAACCGTATGTACAACTGAAGGAAACCCTGCTCAGTCCTGCACTATCCTCACAGTTGAGCCCATTGTTGCTGCCACTGTGTCATTCCATCTCATTGAGGGTCTTCCTGTTTTCACTACCAATTTTCTACCATTCTCTACCAAGAATGAAAGAAAAATAAGTAAAAAAAAAACCTAAAAAGGCAACAGCTAGAAAAATACAAAAGCCAAAAGGAGAAAAAGGGAAAGGAAAATAAAATCACGGAAGAAAAAGAACTAGACATAATGGGGAGAGGAATAGTCAAAGGGAAAGAGGAGTAAAGATAAACAGAAGAAAAGCAATTGGGAAAGAAGCAGAAAACAGCTGAGATTGAAATTTTAAAAAGTGAGGGTAAAGCGAAGAAGAGGAAGAAAATTAACAAAAAAAACGATCAAAGGGCAGGTGCCAGACCCAGAGGAGAAAATTCTGTGGTCTGCTGCCAGCAAAGAACCTCACATCATCAGTGGGCTAGGGATGAGATGGTAACAACCAAGAGGGAGTTCTTGCATGGCTAGGTGCTGTCCTTGGCACCCAATTTGGAAATAGTTCGTATAGACCCAAAACTGCTGGGGGTTTAGGTCATTTCCATCTCAGAGGGCAGCCAGGGATGAAAGGACCTGCTAGCCCAAGACTGACCAGAATCAGCTCTGCAGGCCTGGAGCTGCCACACCTGATTCCAGGTACAGGGGTTGCTGCAGGTACGTTCACTTTGGTGCAGCTCCAACTGCCTGGAGAGCAGGAACTTTGCTGGGAGTCTATGCAGATGAGGGGTGGCCATACCTCTGATCACCAGGGTAATGTGGGGAACAAGAAAAACTTTTGCACCTTTCTGTCCACGAATAAGCGGTATGACTCTTCACCATCTACCACCCTCGTGCCTTCACAGCAGTCTGAAAGTACAAGGTGACCGCACCTTTCCTGGACCTATTCCCCCCCATACCCCTACCACATTTGTTTAGCTGCTTATCCTACTTAGCCAGGACTGGCTCTGCAGGTCGGAGCAGGGTTCACCTAAATCCAGGTCCTGGAGCTGGTTTCAATAGCCCCTCACTTTGATGGGGCTTGCAACTACACAGCGGTCGCCTCCATGCTGCTCTGACCACCAAGAAAGCAGGAGCTTTGCTGGAGGTGTACAGTCACACCTCTCTCTGATCACCATAGGAGCATGAGGAACAAGAGAAAAATAGCACCTTTATCTTTGCGAGCCATTGGTATATTTTTGAAACACCAATATGTAGTCTTATTCTTTTCTAACTGTTTTCTTGTGAATTATGTGATAGTTTACATGGGAGAACATTAGCTTTACATTCATTCAATTGTATTACAATCCCCTCCCTGCATCATCAAACAACCAAAGGGTATACCCCGCAAGCCTACCCCCTGGTCATCCGCACACAGCCCCTCTCCCTCTCTGAGTCTGGAGTCCCCAGCCACTCCATCTCTCCACATTATCGTCTCTGCCTCCATCTCTGGCATCACTGCTTCTCTGGGTAGGGTCCCTCCGCTCTTCTCCCTTGATGGTCCCAGGGACCTCCACTCATGGACTGCAAAGTCAATCATTCCCCTCCTTTTGCTACAAAATGTCTACCTTTTTATTTGCAACCCTCACAGTCATTCTTGATAACAATTATTCACTATTGTACCACAAAGAATCTTATCCGCATTTCCTTTCATCAGCCCCACCTAGACAGATACTACTCACCTAGACGGATACTACTCAGTAGATATTCTACCTTCCTCCACACCCTCTGTATCTAGGCTCCCTCTTGAAAGCTTGTAAGCCAGTCACTGCTTGCCTTTGTAGCCCACCCATTTTGAGTAGCCAATGTCCAAGTTGCCCATCCCTGTATACCCTGTATATTGAGGGGATGGGACTGATCCTCGCTGTAAAGATTTGTTCCCTCTTTTGAGCTACTGTATCCATAGTTGTATGTCAAGTTCATCAAATTGTATCAGATTACTCTCTTTTTTCCCCCTCTTTCTTCTTCTAGTTGAGCTCTGATCATCTAGTCACCAATATGCAGTGTTGTCTCTGAAGCTGCTTACAAAAGTTTAAGATGGCCATACCATGCCTATTTGACCAGTCCCAGTCACCATTCTGCCTCCTTTTTTTGCCTTGTCTTCTCAGCTTCCTCTCCTAGTAAGCATTCAATCCACTTCTCTAACCCTTCATTGGAAGCTCAGGTTCCAGGGCTATCATCTGTGTTTGGTTTTCCTTATCTTTTTTTGTAGAGGAGCTGTGCAGCCTTACTGCCTCGTCTACCATTTTGCCATATCTCCGTAGCCCAATGTATTTTCCTGATTCACCGATGATTAAAATATAAAACATCACAGGATTTCTCAGTTGTCAAAGTTAAGTAGGTTTATGCGATAGGTGTGGTGCTGTAGGATAAGTACTGGACCGCAAGGTTGGTTTGAACCACAAAGGTCGGCAGCTCAAATGCTCCTTAGAAACCCTATACAGGGACACTATGAGTTGGAATTGACTTAGCAGCACTTAACAACAACAAAGCATATCACCATTCTGTTAAAATGGATAATTATTAATGAGCTACCCAATCATTAAACCTTAATCTGTAATTGCTACTTTGAATGATTTCCTGATGTATCTTTGGGCAATTCACAATCTTTGAGACTTCTTTTTCACCTCTTTAGCATGGATGAATTATACTAGAACAAGATTTCAAACTGAGTTCCTCAGGTAAGTGTTGAGGCTAGGGAAAGAGGGGAGAGGCAGTAGGCAGAGTCTTATGGCCTCTATCCTGCATAGCTTCAACTAGAGTGACTTTTGATCTGTTTTATAAATAAACTCAACACAATTACTTGAGTTAGGGGTCCATTTCTAAAATAAAATTTTAATCTCAAAATTTTTTGAAGTTCTGTTTTTCTATAATTGGTCTGGTTATTTGTTTATTATTAATATTTTTAGCATGGTAACACCTTTTATTTGAGCAACTCCATATTCTTTGCCAGGAACCTGATAGATGAACCCAATTCTTATCATTTCTCACACTTTCTCCTGGGAACTTCTTATTTTCTCACAGTGTAAATCCCTCTGGATCTCATTAGCTGGTGAAGGACCTGACACAAGTGAGCCTTCAGAGATCAAATTTTATTTTCTGCTCTTACTAGCCTGCACCACACATACTTTCTCTTTATTTAGTATTATGTCAACTTGCACAATTCTAAATCATTTACAGGTGCACGGAGAATCAACAACTTCCTATAAGAATTTGTACCACCAGCTGTGAATAAATATTAGTACTACTAACTACTTCAAAGGCAGTAGCAGCTAGTGGCATTTTCATGCACCTTTCTCTACCTTCTTTGTGTCTTTTTCCTGAGACTTTGCTTCTCTCTAGCCTTTCTGTCCCCTTCTGTTTTCTCTGACTTGGGCCTGCCAGCAAAGCATGGGTGGGAATGAGACTCTTGTTATGCGCCGGGAAGATGGTTCCTACTCATAGTGACCCTGTACAGGGTTTCCGAGGCTGTAAGTCTTTATGGGAGCACAAAGCCTCATCTTTCTCCCACAGAACAGCTGGTAGTTTCGAACTGCTGACCATGAGATTAGCAGCCTGATTCATAACCACTACGCTACCAGAGCAGGAACCCTGATAAAACCTTTCTGGCAGAAGTGCTTATTCCTGCTGAGCCTTTGGGTTGGTTGGGGATGAGGTAGTGGAGTGGAGCTCCCACCGAGCAGCACACTTAACCTCATCAGGCCATTATTTCAGATAATTGCTGTGAGGCTGGTAGTGAGTCATCCACTTTGTGCACTATTGTAAAGACATTTGCCCATTTGCTAAAAATTTTCAAGAATAAAGTAATCATATCGATTCATCTCCAGGAGATTAAAAATTAGATAAGATTATACATTCACTGCACAGATATTACAGTAAGCCTCCCTCCTATTCCCAGTCACCCAGTCACCTCCCCTCGAGGTAACTAATATTATTCTGTACATAAGTGTATGAGTTTAATATATTGATTCTGATAAAATGCATGAAAGGTACAAATTCATTACTTTGCAGGTGAATTTTATAATACAATGCCCAGGGCTTTCTTTGACAGCGTACCCAATACAATGTTATTGTCATCAAGTTGATTCCAACTCATAGCCACCCTACATAGGGTTTCTGAGGCTATCTGTCTTTTCAGGAGCAGACAAACTCATCTTTCTCCCACAGAGTGGCTGGTGGGTTTAAACTGCCGACCTCATGGTCCACAGTCCACAGAGTCACTGTGCTCCACCCAACACATATACACATATTAATACATATGGTTTCACATCTAGTTAATTTTCTCATTATAATTGAAGCTGGAGCGCCAGTCTAATGAAATGTGACCTTTCATTTTCATTCTTTACTTAAAAGTAACTTTTCAAAATGCAGAAGATACTTACAAACTTTCAATAATTCTATGTACTTCTAGCATTTTGTATGGAAAACAGCAGGCTTAGAAGTGTGTCTAGGAGCTGTGATTTGAACTGTTCACTGGGTCCTAGTGAAGCCCATGTTGATGACTCTTCTAAGATGGCAGTAATGATGTGTACATACAATGCTAAAAGACTGGAAATTAGGAGACCTGGTCTCTTTGCATCAAGCGACTCATTTGACCTATCTGAAATTCTGATTCTTTCTCTGCAAAAATGTAACCTGGGTTTCTAAGACTACTGGCTACTGTCTTTAAGACTCATTGAATAAGAAAAAACATTTTTATTGAGTTGTATGGATGTGCAAAAAAATGAAGCAGCAACCCTTCCTCCCACAGCACTCTCTGCTCAACTTGGTTCAGTAATACAGTGCAATGGCTACACAGAACTCAGACACACTCCTCAGTTATGGGGTTTATGAGGGATATCATGCCCATAGAACACACCACTCCACCATAAGCCTCAGCTTGAAGACACTTGGCTCTAGCTCCGTGGGTCAGTAAACTTAGCTCCCCCACAACCTCCCCATCCAAAGCCACTCAGATTTACTTGTCTCACTGCTCCGCCTTGTGCTCTGCTTCTCGGGTCTGCTGCTGCTCCTCTGCCACTCCTCCAGTGTTACAGCTTTTTGTCCATGGATTGCAGGGATCTCAGGGTCCAAAGGACACCACTCTCCAATCCTGACCCTTCATCTTTGATGGTAGTGAGCTCACTCATTTTAAACCATACTAGAGTTTCAAGTTTTCACAATTACAATCAACTCCGCTAACATCCACAGCTGAATCATGTCATTCTATCAGTATCTTCTCCCATCTTCTCTATCCAGAAGGGCAGAAACATTGTTAGGTGGGAGTTACAGACTATGGCTAGAAAAGACTTTAGATCATTCACTATAGTGCAGTGTATGTGGCTCTAAAGAACAGAAATCTCTTGTCTCACAGTTCTGGAGGTTGGGAGTTCAAGAGCAGGGAGTCAGTCATATTGATTCCTTCAAAGTTCTGAGAGAGAATCGGTTCTGTGCTTCTCCCCTACTTCTGGTACCTCTAGGCATCCCTTGGCTTACAGCTTTAGCATCACATGACATCTCTGTCTCTTCTTTTATAAGAAGGGATTAGGACTCATCGTACTCTGGTATGGCCTCATGTTAGCTTAACCGATAACATCTTCAAAGATTCTATTTCCAAACAAGTTCACTTTTATATATTGTTATTAAGTGTCATCAAGTTGGTTCCAACTTGTAGCCACCTTGTATAGGGTTTCAAAGGAGTGGCAGGTGGATTTGAACCTCCAGTCTTGTGGTTCAAACCAACATAGCAGTCAAGTGCTTATACTACAGCGCCATACCAGGACAAAATCTTAATCCCTGATATCTATGAAAGTATCACTTGACAACAATACAGTTTTGTTTTGAGTCAATTGTTTTGACACAATTCAATCCATAACACTGTGTTAGTCATTGGGGATGCCTAATGAATAAGAAATATTTTCTGCCCTTGAGGATTTCACCATCAATAAAGAGGCAGATGAGTAAGCTATTCAATACATATTGAGATCAGACACGAAACCAAGTCAGCAGAGCCTCAGTGAAGGGGCATCTCACCCAAATGAGAAGTTCCTGGCCTCAGTCCCTCAGAATGACTCAAAGGATTCCTCCTCAGGTGCAGCTTGGAACTTGGGCTGACTCCAAGAGTATCACAACCGACCTCTGACATCTCTCTTCTGTTTTCACTGACTCCTACTCTAGTCTCTCCAACCCTACATATATAACCCTTTCCAACTGAGCGGCATGTTTTAACCTTATAGAATATTGCTAGGACATACAATCTATAGGGCCAGCCCTCCCAGGGGTCTAAAAATGCTTATTCTCTTTGTGAAATGCTCTTCTTCAGCATGCAATAATTTGCAGAATGCTTTGGGTGTGACTGTCACTTGGCTACTGTTTATTCGCATTTGATGATGCCAGACTCTCTCTAGGGCAGCTGTTTATGAAATCGGACATGACTCATAGATCTGTGAGCATCAATCCCCAGGGCAACCAATGAGCATGCAAACTCAAATCACTACAGTTATCCAAAATCACTGTAATCAAATGAAAAAGGAAAATGACCATTTGTTTCATGACATAGAAATCTCAAAGACACAGCAAAGGGACTGCAACTTGGTGTCAATTAGGAAAATATTACAGGAGAATTGTAAAGCATTTTAGGAGAATTGTAAAGCGCCAAAAACCATTCTGAACCTTGGGGGAGGACTGGGTTACACCCCACTGATCAAAATTCCAGCGTTCATTCTGGATTGGGGCCCCACCACCAGCTGAGCAGAGCCTTTATATCTTCACTGCCAGCAGCTGTACTACTAATTAGACACATGGGGCCCAGCTTTAGTGTTCTGAGATTCCAATTGTGATTTATTTTGTCCACCCAGAAGGTAAGTAGTAAATATTCGGAATCGCTTTGTTTATGAAAAACTTAGGAAATTTCTGTGAGTTAGAAAGATAAGCTCTGAAATAAATGCAGGAAAAGAGCACTATTTTTTGACATGATTGTCTTAGTTACCATTGAATTGGCTCTGACTCTGAGCGACGTGATAAGTAACAGAACAAAGTGTGGCCTAGTCATGAGCCATCGTAATAATCACTGATAATGTTTGAGTTCACTGTTGTGGAATATGTGTCAGTGCATCTCACTGAGGATCTTTCTTGTTTTCTCTAACCCTCTGTTTGACCAAACACAATATCGCTTTCCAGCAGCTGGTCTTTCCTGATGTCATGCCTAAAACGGGTCAACATCCTCACTTCTAAGGAGCATTGTGGTTGTATTTCTTATAAGACTTGATTGGGAGATGCTAGATTAGATAATAAAAAAATGCAAGAACATTTCTAGGACCTAAAGTCATTTAATGGTAAAAAGTACTTTTTAGAAAATATAGAAGCACTTAACTAAAGAAAAGATAGTGGCAAAATGAAGCATTAAATAGTTTAAGAACAATAAATGGAGAGTTGTTGTTGTTGTTAAGTATGGTCAAGTCAGTTCTGACTCATAGTGACTCTGTATAGGGTTTCTGAGTAGCGGTTGATGAACTTGAACCACTTACCTTGTAATTCCAACTGACCTTGCAGTATAATGCATTAACCCACAGCACCATACCAGTCCAGTAAGTTAATGAAAATGCATACACTTTCTTAACTCAGGTTTTTCATATAAAATAGGAGCTCAAGTATTTTTAAGAGCTAAAATAATTCTTTCTACCACTCGTCTGTCAGTTTGTCTTACTGGGATTTGTGTGTTGTTGTGGTTCTGGAAGCTATGCCAACAGTGTTTTAAATGTCAGCAAGGTCACTCATGATGGACAGGTTTCAGTAAAGCTTTCAGACTAAAGCAAACTAGGAAGAAGGAAAGACAAACTATTTCTGAATGTTTAGTCACTGAAAGCCTTATAAAAAGCAGCAGAACACTGTCAGATAGAGTGCCAGAATATGAAAACATTATGAATAGCACCAGATTATTGTCAGGTACAGTGCCAGAAGATGGCTCCTCAGGTTGGAAGGCATTCAAAATAGCACTGGGGAAGAGCTGCCTCCTCAAAATACAGTTGACCATGATGATGTGAGTAGAGTCAAGTTTTGGAGACCTTCATTTGCTGATGGGGCACAACTCAAAATGAAGAGAATCAGTTACAAACATTCATTAATAATCAGACCATGAACTGTATGAACTATGAATTTAGATAAATTGAAAGTTGTTAAAAATGGAACACATAAAGCTTCACATCCTAGGCATTAGTGAGTGGAAATAGACTAGTATTGATCACTTTGAATCTGAAAATCATAGTTTGTTATTCTGGGAATGACAAATTGAAGAGGAATGGTACTGCATTCATTGTCAAAAAGAACACATCAAGATCTGTCTTGAAGTAAAATGCTGTCTGTGATAAGATAATATCCATATGCCTGCAAGGAAGACTAGAGTCCTGGTGTGGTGCTGTGGGTTAATGCTCTGGACTGCAAGCTCAGTTTGAATTATAAGTTCAGCAGTTCAAGCTCAGCAGTTGCTCCTCAGAAACCCTATATAGGGGCACTGTAAGTCGGAACTGACTCGACGGCACTTCACAACAACAATAAGAAGGAAGCCCAGTTAATACCACGACTTTACAAACTTATGCACCAACCACTAAAGCCAATAATGATGAAATTGAGAATTCTACTAACTTCTTCAGTCTGAAATTGACCAAACATGCAATCAAGGTGCATTGATAATTACTGGTGACTGAAACGCAAAGGATGGAAATAAAGAGGAAGGATCAGTAGTTGGAAAATATGGCCTTGGTGATAGAAACAATGCTGGAGATTGCATGATAGAATTTTGCAAGACCAATGACTTCTTCATTACAAATACCTTTTTTAAACAACATAAATGTTGACATACACATGGACCTCACCAGATGGAATACACAGGAATCAAGTTGAATTTGTGGGAAGAGACATTGGGAAAGCTCAATATCATCAGCCAA